TCCTGGTTTCTATTAGGGAAATGTAGTCATGTGAGAACAGAGTTTGCCCTGGTTGTTCCAGGAAAAAAAGTTGCCCAGCACTCATTAAAGGTTCTTCTGCATTTCTTATCTATTTGGCAAGGTAAAACTACAGATTAATGTTACTTTCTCCAGAGTGGAAGTGTCACGTCCAAACAACGCACTGAGCAAGTTTGCCAACTCCTTTCCTATTTGAAGAATCTGAGGTACAGAATTTAACCTAACTTTGTTTCCCTCTAAAAGTATTTCTTTGCAAAGGTAGTATAATTCCACATTTGTATTTTAATTCCAAAGCAAATGCTCCACTGCACTTTTTATTAAAATGAAATCTGCTGTGTGCAGCCTGGTGTTAAATGAGAGACTATTAAAGCCAATCAGTGGAGAACTCATTAGAAACCCTACAACAACAAACTAGTAGTTATGGCCCAGCATTCAGAAGCAGCCATGACAACAAGGAGAAAGAATCCAGGTCTCATTGAAGGCTAGAATAAAACCACAGCTTATGTAGCCCAAAGACTGTGAACATCCATAGAAAACAGCTGAGCTTCCATTCCTCAAATATGTGCCAGAAATTATATTCTTTTCTCATGACTCATCTCTGAATTCCACTCCTAAGAATACTCCTGTCATTTAGTTATTTCTTCCCATTTCTAAAATGTAATGAGAAGCACCAATCCAGAGCTCAAGGAAATCTGTCCCATCAATTAAAATAACGAAATAAGCAGAAGGCTGCCTATAAACACATCCACCTCTGCCCACTCACTCCTCAGCAGCCATGGTGAAGGGAAAAAAGACGAGTTTTGCAGGATGCCTGGAAGCCTAGCAACTCTCCTAGGAAGGGCCAAGAGGTAAGAACTCCTCCTCTGAGCGTTTCCTTCCCAACCTTTGAGATCTTCTCATCCAGCAGAGAAGAGCAGAGCACACCGTGTTTTTGCTGGGTGCCCAGAAGACCAGATATTGGGATAACTATAAACTTGGTAGACTGAAATATTCAGATCAGATTGTTTTCTGGGACAATGAGGGAATAAATGAATACGTAATTATTACAAACAGAACAAAGAATTAAAGACTATAATTGAACTGGGAAACAGCATTTGGATATTTGGACTCCAAATTACCACCTAAGCCTATTATCAGCATAAATTGAGATAAATCCCTCACTAGAGAAAAAATTCCTCAAAAATCATTCAAAAAGATAACTAACAAATCTTGTAGAACAAAACTCTCAAAGTAACATTTTACTACCCTTTAGTGGAGTTATCTCATCAGCAGGTTCACTTATTGGACAAAATCCAAAATGTTCAATGGTCGTGATCATACTTCTGTAGTTCCAGTCTAACACAAAAGAGAACCAGTTTCAAAACAGAAACAGTTGCTATGCGACCATTAGTGATACAAGAAGATGCAGACCAAACACCTACATTGTCAAGAAATGGCATTTAGATAACAGTCTGTCTCATTTCTTTTTGTGCTTACAGCCATACTTCAAATAAAACTTTGTTTGCACAAGTTCTTGCAAAAACGAACAAGTGTCAATGTAAAAAGGAGGAAAGATGTGGAGAATCTGAACAACATTCAGTTCATTTTCTCCTTACTCCATTATATACCCAGATCAACCACTGACACCATGTTGAGTAAGACCATTCGATTTTAGCTGCATTCAGAACAACTGCTCTTTTAGAAAGACAAGGGGAAAAAGTAAGAAATGGTCAGAGTTCAAAGGAAGATCTTGGGAAATGACTAATTCACAGTCAGTGTATAATGTGCCACAGCTGAACTAAATTACACTTTTTTTTTTTTGTTTGATGTGTCATTCTCCAAAGAATAACGTGGGAATTTTTTTTTTATTGCTTTGCCTCCCCAGCTATGGATTTGAAGAAAATTGGACCCCTTTGGATTAGCTTCAAGAGTTTCTGAAACAGTAGCTACATGGTAATGCTTTATCTGAGGTCACATACTCTTTGTCTCCCCAGATATCAAGCCCACATACATGCATCTCTCTACTCTGTGTAGGCATGTGGAGGGGGAACTTTAAGTTACACATGGCTGAATATAGTATTGCTGGGTCCAGAGCAAGGGTAAAATTAGCTTTCCAGAACCTGCAGCCAGTCCAGTCCAAAATGAGCCAAACCAGGTTCCAGACACGCAGGTATTGCTGCTACCTGGTGTGCACAGTGCACAAGTACTGTGGGATCCTAATAGGTGGAAGGAGTTAGGGAAAGCATAAAGTAGCCAGATCTGCAGAATCTGTAATATCCCATACAGACCAAGCATATAATGAGAGTTTTAAAGATTAGCACATAGTAAATTTCAGCAAATTCAATGGAACTTAAAGGTATGAACACCGATTACACAGCTATTAATCTCTGTGGGTTTTGGCTCAGTGAGGCAAACTCACATCTTCATGATTGCTTCCTTCCACATCTTGTCCTTCTCCCTTACCTCTTCTTCTCCACAGACTTCAGGCTTGAAGCTGAGCTTGAAGCCATCCAATTTCTATTGAACCTTTGGATTTCTAAAAGCAATGGCTTATTTCAAACATCACTAGCTTTTAAACTTCAAAAGGTGCCTGAAAGTAATTTGACTTAAATAAAAAACTAAGCACCCAACTCACTGAAGTCAAACTTTTTTGCCACCTCACTTGGAAATACAGAGAGTGTGGAAACATGGGCAGGGGGAGGGAAAGGAGGCATGGTCAGAACCCCTTCACAGGCCAGCACCATGTGAGGCAAAGCAAGTATTTGCACTGTGCTCACAAGTAAGTACAAAAGTGTAATTATTTATGAGTTAGCTCAGGTGCCTGCAGCTATCTACACAGTGGCAGAACAGAGCCTGGCACTGACTAATTTGACTGTGCTTCTCCGTGAGACTGATGTGAGTACCCAAACTAAGCGGGGTGTATCTACACGTATTGGCACTCATTCCTGTGAATGCTGTGCCCAAAGCAGACAAGGGAGCAGAAACAGTGTGATTTGGGCCATGAAGGTGAAAAGAAAGCTATGATCTTCACAAGTGACAGGAACTGCTTTCATGTAGGGTGCCGAGGCTTCAGGGCATATCTACACAGCACAACAGTGCTGGCATATCTACACTCAAGAGTCTCTGAGCTGGTGACTTCTAAACAATGCAAAGAGGTGCTATGCAGAGAGATTATGTTGGGTCCTTGAAGCAGCACAGCTGTATGGGTGTGATGTTATGCACAGGCTAACAGTGTCAACAAAACTCATTAGCAGAAGGTCTCTGCAGAACACTGCATCACATAGCAGGGAACGTTTTGTTTTCTAGATAACTGCTGAAAAGACACAATAGAGCTTCCCCCAGAATCCCTCTTCATTTGGAAAGGTAGAACAAAAGCCTGCCTTGATGTTACTTCTCATTACTTTGTACACACTATATATATATTTTCCCTGTTTAATCATTTCAGTGATGACTCAAAAGAGCAGCAGAAAAAACCCTTACTCTTAAGCCTAGCTGGGAAGGAAAGAGATAAAAGCTTTGGGCACCTTTGGTGCCCAAGGCCTGCATAGAGGAAAAAAAAAGAGCATGGGAAAGAGGAAGTAAAAGCAATAAGACCTGGCAATATGCCAATGGATCATAGCAACAAAGAACAAATAGCAATATGGGTAATATATTGGGCCAAAGAATAAAGTTCTCTCACAGTCCCCGGTGTTCAGGCAAAGCAAAATCTGCTTCCTTGTCCCTTTGTCCCTCTATCTGCCTAGTAAATTTGACAGTAAGAGGTCACAGCATGTGGACCAATCCATCACATTTGCACTGCTTAGTGATTCAACATGACAAATTAACAAAGACACTGAGCTCTGTGTGGCCTGATGGTTACTGCCTGGATTCTCCTTTTCTTACCACAAAGGATAAAACATGTCCAAGGATTTTATATGTAAAACATTGCACAATGACAGCTGAGCAGATCAGGGGGCATCTGAATTCCATGCCTAATTATCTGGGTTGCTTTGCTACATGCTAAAACTCCATCTGGGACAAAGAAGAACATGTAGTAATCAGAGTGCTGTTCTAGAGGTTGTTCCGCCACAAGCATCCTCTATGCCCTTAAAGAGATGCCTTAGCACTGTCTCTTAGGAAAATTTGAATTTGTATAAAAATAAGATGTTTATTCAAACAGGTTTTCCCTATGTTTAAATACCCTTTTCAATTTGGAAAAATGTGCTGTTCTTATCAAGGTACTAGGCTTTCTGCATAAGGTACACAAGAAAGAACAGTACCCTAAACACCCAGCAAACAACAGCCAGTGAAGTGCTAAAGAGCAGGGTGACAGCACAAGCCCTCCTCGAAGATAAACCAGATTCTTAAGACATCCAAGGTCTTTAAAGGCTTTGAGTATGAAGCAGGATTTAAGCAGTTGATGGCTCTAACTCTTTTTGCAGCTCTAGTTCTCCACATCTCTTTTCACTTCCTCCTATCCTGTAATTCAGGGCTAATGAACAGCAGGACACTTGGTGTTCAGACAACAGTCGCCATGAAACTATTCCAGGTAGGTTACACAACCATCACCTATAAGGAACACCTGTTCACATAGTGCTAGTGTCTGGAACATAAGCTGCTGTCTTCTAGACTTCAACACAAACATTCCCATTGATTGCAGCAAGAACCCACCTGAGAGCTGCAGACCCAGTCATGCAAAGACACCCTAAGAAGTTCAGTGCTGTTATGAAAGCAAAAATTTGTGCATTGAGGGATGCACTCACATTGTTGCACTTTGCCTTCGTTATTCCTTTTCCTCATGCTGACTTGCCCTCTGTGTTGTATGAAGGCTTTCCAAGGGGGTGATAACGCTGGCACTCATGATGCACAGCAGCATGGGTCCCACCCTCAGCTCACCTCCCCTTGCCCAATTCTGGCCAACACCATCTGCTGCACAAAGCACCACGTGCCTAGCAGAAATATTCTGGTATCAGAGGGCGTCTTTGACCGCCCTTTTGTATGGCTGGCCCAGCTCTTCCCCTTACCTGTTGAGCATGTTGGACTGGTAAATCCTTTTCTCCTGGGTGTTGTAACAGCTGCTCTTGGGCTCAGGGATGAAGCTGTGTTCAGACAGCATATCAGAAGCAGCCGTGGTGATTATGGCTATTCCATCCCTTACTCTGGCAGGAAGACCGTAGTCCCATTCATCATATGAGACAGAGATGAGCCCGGTGGGGAACTCAGATGGCACTGTGTCTGTATCCCCTGCCACCAGGCTGGGCACGATCCACGTGTAACCATAGCCTGTCAGACCCACTGAGTTGGCCACCTCAAAAATGTAGGTGGCCTCTTCCTTTGTGCAGTAGAGGAGGATAACAGGGCTTTGGAGCTTCTTGAGCTGGTTCTGGATCTTTGAATCCCCATCGTCCAGGGACATGTCCAACAGAAGGACCTCCTCCAGTTCCCAACCCACAAAGCTGTGCTCAATGGTACTGCGGATCTTGTTCACAAAGTCCTGGTAACCAGGGAAGTAAGTAGTGACAATGGAGAAGATGTACCAGTCGTATTCTTCCATGATGTTGAGCATGACAGAAGCTTGCTGTTCTATTGATGGGCCAAACTGGAAGAACATGGATGACTCATCCTGGAATAGGAAGTCAGAGGAAGAGAGAAAAAAAAAGAAAACAAGAATAGGTCAAAGGAAATAAACAGCATTCCTAGTCAATCCATTGAGCATAAAAGGGTAGGCACACAGTCAGAATCTCACTTCATTTCTTGGCCAGAGCTTAAAGATTTTTAACTTTTTAAAATTTAAGTGAAGCAAGTGAGAAGGAAGTAAAATCCTTTTTATGACCAGCTGTCCTTACTTTATTTTTAAAGGCAGGTTGCCAAAATGACTTAAAGGTTTCAACTGTTAGGCCTGATTCTAACAGACAGAGAACAAGTGGTACACAAGTGAGGACAGAAAAATAGAATACGTACAAAATATTTCCATGAAATTAAGAGCTTTAATCAGGATTATCATAACCTTATCTGTAGCATAAACAGGATACACAACAGTTTTGATACTGATTTTTGGGACAGTCACTTTGATACTGAGTTTGGGATAGTCACTCTGGTTTGAGTATCCAGACTGGAGTACCAACAGAGTAGGCAAAATAATTGGATAGAAATAGTTCTGACAATCTCTACTGCTAGCTCCTCTCAAAGCAAGCAGCAGTACAGGGTTCTGTACAGTTCTTCTCAGTACAACCGTGAAGGCTCAGTCTCAGAATAACATAAAATACAGTAAAATAAAACAGAGATTTCTAAACTATGATGAGGTTTGTTGACACCATGCTTTTAAGAAATATCAGCTCAGTATTTCTCTTGGTATGGCTCTCATATCCTTCTACCACACTAAGTTAATCTTTGTAAAAATTAGAACTTGTACCACTTTACAACCTCGAAGACTCCAAGGAGTTTTACACAGTTCTCAGCTCTCCAATGGTGTAGTGTAAATCTCTTCTGTCCTGGGATTTCATCAGATACCAGGCTTTCAATTTATGACATCCAGAAAAATGCAAATCCCTGCTTTTGCCAAATTCATGAAGGAAAGGAATGGGGAACAATATTTGCCAATATGCTCTCTTAGGGATATATCTTCTATCTTTTAAAAGCAATTGCAAACTCCTCCTGACTTCTAGAGTAGGATTAGAGCATAAAAGAAAACCCAACAACAAATTTAAAAGCAAAACAAAACAAAACAAAAAAATAAATTCTGTCTCTCTGTGTAGAGGAGCATAAAAGAAAACCCAACAACAAATTTAAAAGCAAAACAAAACAAAAAAAAATCTGTCTCTCTGTGTAGATATTCCCATCATAATAACAAAGTTCTCCAAATCCAAACACTATTTTAAGGAATGAGAACAGTCCAAACTTCTTTTAATAAGCCTGGAAAACTGGACAGAAAACTGGACCAGAGATACAAAAAGATAGAGTCAGGAGTTTGAGACCTGGAAAAACTGATTGTGCCTCAGGACATTACCTCAAGATAGTCACATTTAGAACAGCTCTCTACCAAACTGAATCTCCTGCAGCCTGGCAGGTAAAGCTGTTTCTCGGCAGGGATGTAGATAATCAATCATCCATTCATCCTTTAGTCATGGTTTTGATTATCTGTAGCTATTTCCTATATTGACAAAATATGCTATAGCTCAGCAACTCCAGAAAAAAAAACAATTAAAAATGTAAAGACCTGAACCCATACCCAGCCTTAAGCTGCTTGTTTCTCTTTCCTGAGCTCCCTGGGGGTCACATCCTATACAAAATGCCTCTCTTACGAGTTTGGTGATTAAACTCTGTTTGCTTCCTCCATACAGCTCACCACCCACATGTGAAAGTTCTCTTAGGGCTGCTCTTTGCTTAGTGGAAAAATAAATGTATGCAAAAAGAAAAAGACAACTGCAACAAAAGCCAGGAGCAGCAATTGGAGCTGCTCAATATATGGAAAACATCTCATATTTTTTATCACTGGAATTCACCCCCTTCTCTCCGAACTGTGCTCAGGAAAAGAACCTACTCTTCTAATAAAAATAAATTTTATGTCTTTGAAGTTTATGCAGAAAATTAGAAAAGACAGAGGAAAAAAAATCAAACTATTCTCACAGCATGTGCCGGAATTTGAAAAAATCCTGAACAAGCATCTCCAACACCCTTCATTGCACAGTGCCTTTGAAAGCCACTTGTAGCGACTGAATGCTAGAGTGCAAAGACTCAGCCTTACTGCAACATGAAAAGGCAAGACAGCTACACCGATGACTAGTATTTATTTTTATATTAAGTTCAACAAGAGCCTTTCTACACTTATGCATAAGAGCCTCTGAATTGACAGCAATTTTTCACCATTTCTAGCAGAGAGTCCAAGATCTGAAGGGCCTGGTTATTGAATTACAGGAACATTTGACACACAGCGTCTGGAAGTCTTGTCTGGTTGCTTCCTCAGTGACAAATAGGGGACACCAGGTGGTAAATCCACTGCTATTTCAAGGCTACGTAGACACACTCTCAGGAGTTAGTAGGTATGATAGCAAGGTGCAGGAGGTAATGCCCTCCCAGTGATTTAAACAGGGTCAAGCTAAAATGCCTGCTGACAGTTCGTTCCACATGAGTGCACCGCCTAACTGTCAGAGGGAATTCAGCCCCAAAAGACTTGGGGACAAAATTCAGAGCTCCTCACTACCAAGAGTGTATCAGAACATCAAAAATCAATACACCAAATAAAGAGATTTATCACAACCCAGCGAAACAATTCCCCTCCACTGAGAAATGAAAGCACCCCACTTTACATCAAGCACAAGCCACTTGGCTGTGCAGGCAATAATTGCTCTTGAGCAACTGTTGGCATTTCTATTACAGAAGCAGCAAGAAGAGGCAACTTATATTCAAAATGAGAGCATTAAGGAGGTGCAAGCCAGTCCAGATCTTGGTTTGCCAAGATGTCTTTTGGCACTTAATGAGCCCAATAGTCGGGCTAGCCAAATGTTCTTCATTCCCTGACCAACTCAGCACTCAGAGAGGGATGAAGAAGGAAGGACAGACAATAGAGAAGAAAGTGTCCCTCTCATAATAAATCAGGAGAATTGCTGATCGAGTTGGATAGAAATCTCAGTCACTACCTTTTGAGGGGGACAAAAAGCAAACTAAGAAAAATGTCAAAAAATCACAATTTTCTTCCAGCCTTGTTTTTGGGCATGCTTGATGAAAAGTCAAGGAAAAAGAGAAGGAGCTGAACTGATACAGAACAGTAGGGGTATCAGAGTATGAATTTGACCTCACTGTAGTGCTACAGTGAAAGTTTTTTAATTAGGAAACAGATCTAAGGTGGTTTTACCATTTTTATGCACATATACCTTTTAGAATCATTATTGCATTATTACAGTCTTAAACCAAAAAGGAGTATTTTACCCTTCCAGACATTACAGGGTTTTACAGAACATTATAAGTTCCTATTTTTCTCCTGAATAAATGTCACAATTTCCACCTTCCTTTTTTACCTTGAAACAGCCAAAATATGGTTCAGCATTGCCACTGGGAGGCAGTTTTAAGTTTGGGACAGGGATAGGTCAAGTGTTAATCAGAAGCCCCTTACATTGCACATCATCCAGGTGAAATACAATCCCCTGGCTACAGGAAAAATCTTGTCTTCCTCCTACAGCCCTTTCACCTGCATGCTCAGGCTTTACATCACCACCTGATGCAAGAGAAAGCAAGATGCTGCAGGGTGTCCCTCACACAGTCTGAAAGAGCAGAGGCTCCATTACAGGATCTCAAAGCTTCCAGAGATCCCAGTACTCCCCCACTATCACCCTACAAGGCCAGGGATCTGTAGTTTGCAGAGCTGAGCTGGAGGTGGAGCTGATCAATTGACACAGCACCACTCCCCAGTTGACAGATGGCTTCCCACAGAAAATCTGCTCCGAGTTTACCAATGCTGGGACAAGTATTGCCTCCTCCTCCTGCACGTTTAACCCTTCAAATAAGAAGGCTGGATTGCACATGGTGAAGGTACAAACACACTCACCATGAAGCAGACTCTTGCAGACCGGTGGCTAGCGAGTTCCTAGGTGGATGGAAGAGGGTTTGCAGAGGTAGGACAAGGTTTAGAGAACTATCACCAATGCTTCTAAGTTCTTCAGACTTGCAGCTAGGCCAGGTCTGACCCACACCTCACTGAAGATGTGAGCCCTTGGCAAGGCTGCAGGTGACTCTCCCAGGAGAGTCTCCCTCCTCCAGCTGCACCATTTGAAACCAATCACAGCCATTTAATGAGCCATTTACCTCAGATGTGGTAGGAGAGGTCCTCAGGGATCTCTTCTCTCAAGTTCTTTCCTAACAGGCACTCTAGATTCCCCAGGCAAACAAATACAATTACTGCCTTAAAAACAAGATCCTACAACCCAGAGCCAAACTGCTTCTCAGCATGGGGCAGACTGGGGAACATCCACAAAGCAGGGGAATGCAAGATCCCCAAAAACAGTTCCAGTAGTCCACTCATGTTGAGGAACTGGCCAACCTTCCACTGAGCCATGGTATTGACTGCTGACTCGGTGAGTGAGGAGATCAGCATGCTGTGTTCCCTCTGTGCAGCCCACCTGAATGTAATCTGGTTCTGTGCTCCATGCACTCCTGGCTGGTCCATGAACACATTTTTGCTAGGGGTGGCAAGCTCCTTTAGCTTCAGTCAAAGTGCCAGACCCCACAAAGGCAAGATCTGTCAAGTTATGCACAAAGAATTCAAGTAAGGAGCAAGTCCAGAGCACTTGTTTGCTTCCAGGATTTTGAGAAATATACCATGTCATTGCAAAATGCCTTACTCTGCTGTCTCCACACAGCTGCAGGACAAATACAATTTGTACTGCCAGGCTAGTAGCCCCTTTTTATTAGGCTTTTGGGAACATCTGTATATTTAACCCCATTTGCTGCTTCATTAGGCTTCCTATGCAGCCATAATTTAACAACTGGGGTTTGCCCTTCCTCTCCAGCTCACAGAGGGGATCCTAATGACTCAGGCCACTATCACTTTGCAGAGCCCTCTTCTCATTTCCTGATTTAGAAGAAAAGCTGTTCATGTGTCTTTAGTACAGTCTTGATTTGCAAAATTAC